TGACCTGTCAGCTAAGGCTTCAGCTTTCATGAAAATTATAGGAACTTTATTTCTGTGAGCTCTGTACCCTGCAGGTTTGAAACTGGACACTGATAGTAAAAATTTTTAGTTGAGTAAGAAAATGGCAGATGGGCAGAGATCATGATCTCATAAGATTCATCTCCTTCAGAAATGGCCAACTCAAAACTCAAGGACTGATTCTAAGAAAAGCGATAGCTTTGGATGCTCTGAAACCAAACCAGATATTTGGAACTGGAAAGTTGGGTTTTTTTATGGTCATTGGCTTATCAGTGAAACTAGATTACCGCTAGTTTTTCCGAGAAAATATCTATCCCCACATCAAAAAGGTTTAGATAATATAAACCCCACAGTGATGATACAATAAAAATTCTTTTCCTTGCATGGCAAACCAGCTTTTCATGCCATCTCCTGTGGTAGAAGCAAAAGGGTGAAGTTAGTAGGACAGCAGACACTTGTAAAGAGCATGAGTATTGAGAGGAATAATGGGGAAAAGCACACTAAAAAAACCCCTCAAGCAATGAAGGGAAATTAAGTCAAATTAGTGACTCTGCAAGAAAGCATATGTTAACCAAGTATGGATTTTTCTGTGTATCTGCTGGGTGAAGCTGTTACGCTCATTTCTGAACAGTGAGTAGAATAAACAATGCTTCTGCCTAAGGGTATTTCTTACTGTTAAAAGACTAAGACCAAGTCTGGCTGGAATGACTCAGTATGCTTACAAGGCACTTAAATGAAAAAGAATAAGATGATGGGACAAGAAACAGTGTTGTGAATTATAGAAACAGTATCTTCCCTGGGTCCTCTGTCAGGATTACTAATTCTAAAAAAGAGCTACCACAGAAAGAACTTGCAGACAGCCAAGCTAGGAGTCTAAGCAGAATTACAAGAGGCACATCCTTTCTTCTGTGAACAGAGCCAAATAGGTGCTGTCATATACATGCACAGAGCCCACCTATGAAAGCAGTGATTATGCAGTAACCCTGAACAGCATGGTCTGTGATGTAGCTGCCTCTGAAGACCAGAGGAGGGTATGGCAGAGGGGATGGGGAGGAAACTTAGGGCTTCATTTCTCTTCAGTGCTGCTTTCGCAAACCAACAGAGAAAGAACTGCTGAAGAAGTACTGCAGCTGGATCCCAAATACCAGTAAATAGACTGATGCTTCTAATGGTGCTCGTAGTAGAGTTTATCAACAATTCTGTTATCACTGCATGAGATCGCTTCCTTCAAACTCGCCAATCTTGCTTGTGTATTTTTAATGACTGTTGGCACAATTCTTCATGAAACTGCAGGAGCTGATGTAGTTTTACCGAATGGATTAGCCTTCTGGGACTCCCACAACAATATGTGTGCTATTTCAATCTATTTTGATCTAAAATGGATTTGTATCTCTTTAAAATGAGCCAGCAAATTGCTGTGCTAATTAAGCAAGATTGAATGATGCACAGGAACTAATATTACTAAATCAGTATATGAAGGCCTGATTCTGAGAATCCTCATAGTCTGTGTGCTACTCATCTTCAGACTCTAAAAATACTACATTGCAAAGCTGCTGTCTTGCCAAAAAGACATTACATCAGTCAACGCTGAGATTGCATTTAATATGTGCTAGGCATTAGACTCACAGCTTGAAATACTGTTCTCCTTCATGCTTCCGTATGGTGATGTTCATGCCAGTGCAGCGAGGCTGGGCAGAATGTACACATTCCTTTTTTTACTGTAATGCTGACAACTGAAAAAGGCCTTGTGTTAGTGTCCTTCACCAAAAGGAATAAATCCAGCAAATCTTAGTACCCTGTACTCTTTTTGTGCCATACCCAGGAGATGTAACACATCTCTTGGCTGACCACTTCCAGGCTTTTTGTACTTACTTTTTTTCATACTTTGTAAGTTTCCAGTTTTTCAATGTTTTCAAGAGAAAGAAATATCTTTCTGGATTTTCATGCCTTCAGGTTCATTATATTATTGCTGTATTTAAAGCAATAACACTAGGAGCAAACGTTGAGTATAAAAACTAGAACATTTTAAGAGCTCTGTTTCACAGAGAGCTTTCTATTTACAACCTTTACTCTCTTATGACAGTTACTTTTGTCTGTCATTGTTATTACAGTTTATCGGTCCTCCTTTGCAACAAGAAGTGACCAGTAAGGCTTAAAGCTTTGTTTAGCTGCTCAGCCTCAGTGTTTTGTGTGTTTTTCTGGTGCTATGTTTCTTTATTTAAAGTTCTTTGTCAACACAGTGGATGCTGTGACTAATTTGGCTAATTCTGGAAGAAAGGATTACGCTTGGAATTCTGCATTGGTGTTTTGAGCCTCAGTAAAAAGTTACAATGAGTGAGTGATCTGGGTTATGCAGACAGTTGGGTGGGATGATACCTTCTGGCCTTCAGATCAATGGGATCTGTTTACTGCTGTATGATTCAGGCTTAACTTCTGAGCCAGTCTGTAACGTCTTCTACATCATTTTGTATGCAGAGCACCCCATACATTGCTTATGAATGTGTGCCTTGGATAAATGGGAAAGCTCCTAGTGGGGCTTTCACACAGAGACATAGAGATGTTATTGGGACACTGCAGTATTGCCAAGTTTTTCTAATTTAGGCAATTCTCACAATAGTTGACTTTTTTTTTTTTTAAATAAAGCTGTTTTAAAGAAGAGTGACATTATTTTTGAAGAAAGAGGAAATCTATAGTCCTCATTGCAGAATAATGCTTGAAACACTGCCATAGCTAAACACCACCTCCCCCTCCACCACCCCACAACCCAGAAAACAAAGAAAAAACCCCAACATTAGTTTTAAAACATTAAGTCATCTAAGGATTTTTACAGGGTCTGTTTAAAATTCTGTTTGCTCAGGGTAAGAAACCCCATAACTTACAGGTCTTCTGGTTTCCCTGTCCAGGCGCACACATGGCCATGCCCTCACTCCATCCACGCTGGGGCGAGCCATCATTGTGCTCCAGCCCTCCCCATGCCCTGATTTGCAGGGGAAGGGAATCTCCTTGTGTGCTGGCCAGAGAGGAATTAGCAAGTGCTTCCCTAGCTCACAGGACACCAGTACTTAGAGGTGTGTTGTAGCCCAGGCACAGCCTATAGCTCTCAGATATTTAAAAAAAAACCCAAGCAAACAAACAAAAAAATGAACAATTTTCTCAGAATTCAAACCTAACAGATATTAATTAATTAAACAAATACCAACCAAGGGAATCTGCATGACAAATAGTGCCCTGAAGTGCGGGTAGCCCAGGCAATGTGCTGGGCTGGTGCCTGAAAGTGACACAATCCTGCTGTCTGCTTTGGACAGTGACACAACCCTGCTGTCTATTTTGGATGACCTGATTTAATTGCGCCAGTTGAGAGAAATGCAGAAAGGAAGCATGCCTCAGAAAGAGTGACAGGCCCATTCAACTGTTACAATGCCCTTGCTCCTGATAATCACGACTGCTATTAATTGTACAGATAAGAACATATTTTTCCCCTAACCTTACATTGTCGTTCAGCTGAATTTGCTGCCTCAAGGGAAGTGTGTTTCTGTACAGAATCTGGTAAACAATATCGGGATACTTAAGATCTCAAGAAGATGAAGCTTTCAACTAGGGTGACTACAAAGCCATGGTACCCAGAAAAGGAGGGAAAGCAACTGGAAACTGCTCCCTCCTGTGCAAGCACCACTCTGGGACCAAGGTCAGAGGTGGTAGCTGCTAAGGAAACTTTTTTCCCTTGTTGAGCCAGGGCAGGCAACACCCCAGCACGTGGAGGGGGCCAGCGTGAGGAGAGGAAAGAACCTGGAGTATTCCATAGAAGAGCAAGAGGAAAATGTGACTTTTTGAGTGGGAATTCTTTCTCATTCTGGGCTATGAGCAGCCCGTTCAGCACCACTCTTTGCAAAGGGCTGACCACTCCACTTGCGTCTATGTAGTCTGTGTGTATAGTAATAAAAAATGCAGGTTTGTGTGGTCTGCCATGTGAGACGAGCAATTTAGATGCTAGTATGTCACCACTTCTCTTATCAGAGATCATTAGGTTTCAGCCAATTTCCATTACTATTTTTATCCTTTATTGTGTGCAAATACACAAGGATTTTAATAACAGCAGTAACTTTAAATGCCACTTAGAAGGCCAGAGAGCATGATGCCTTATTTTCACCGGTCCATCCAATGCTATTTTTACAAGTGAACCGTATCACTTGCACAGGATCAGAATGAAATTTTTATAAAGGCATTTTTTAAAGGATTGAATAGTTGCAATTGTTGGAGAAAGGTGCTTAGATACTGGATTAGGAATTTGCAGGATCAAAGTAGCAGTTAAGATGCCAGGGAACTCATCCAAATCACAACATAGCTGATATTCTTTAGGGAATACTGGGCTGTTTTGTATACAGCACTCTTGGCTCCAAGTAACTTAAAACCCAAAGAATTGAAATGATTACAAATATCGGGCTAAATCTTTCAAGGTGTTGAGTGCCCTCAACTCATGTTGGGCTGAATACTCTTTTACACTGTGGCCCTTTATGCTATGATGGCAATGTCAAAGGCATTCAGCAGCAGTAAGTGCCACTGAAGGCCCCTTTACAGTATCGGACAGTAGCAAAGTCGCTTGGGTGCGCTTGGGCATTCGGCCCATTTTCCTGGCAACACTCAGCACCTTTGAGGTGCAGGCTGACAGAGGAGTAGCTCTGGCAGGAAAGCTCAATTATGTGTGATCTCAGTTACACAGATAATCTAGGGGATGGATTTGGTTTGGGATTTTTGGTGGAGGTTTGTCTTTTTTTTCTATTTATTTAACCTGTGAGAAGCTGTAGGGATTTCTGCTGGTCTGGTGCCTTGAGATCGAGACTGCAAATACAGGGCATGAAATTCACACCAGTGCTCAGACTGAGTTCAATGAGCTGAAGAGCTCCCCTGCATCTTTGCTACACTGAAAGGTGCATCTGCCTGATGCCTGTCCTCTCTTGGGCTCTAGATGAGAAACAGCAAAGACGATGGCAGAGTAAGTTTTTCCTTGCTCCAGAACTAGAAACTGATCGGGGAGCTGAATTCCCCATCCTCTTGCATAGCTGGAGCTTGAAAAGATGCCAGACAACTGAAACATTTTATTTTCATGTAATTTACATGAATATTCAAATTTCTATTTAAAAACACTTTTTAAAATAGCTCAGCATTGGTAGAAGATTTAAAAAGGGAAAAAAGTGAAAATGAAATGGCATGAGCAAACTCTTTTTCAGTATTTTCTTTAAAGAAAACTAATTTTTGTTTTAATGGTACAAAAACCTTGTCATTCTAGTTCTGATTCAGCCACCAAAACAAGAAAATATGGGTTGTATTTTTGTTGGGTTTTTTTTGTTATACAAAGCAGTAATAATGTTGCTGTCACCACAGTGGGGTAAGGAAGGCTTCCAAGGAGAAGATACTAGCTTTTGCCTCTAATTAGACCAATTATATGTTTGAAAAACAGGCAGAAATAGGAAAATTGTAATTTTTAAAATTAAAAAGATATGCATGTAATCATGGTCTCAGTTTTAAAACTTCTACAGTTCTTTTATCAAATAAAGCAGTGGAAGGTCTTAGTACTTTATCCTCACTTAATGTGTTTGGTTTAGAGAACCTTGGGTTTTTTGATGTGAATGTAGATCAATTTGGTGTTCTAGAAGTTGGAAATTGATTTTAGGGAGAATTATACAGATTTAATATGTGTATAGGAATAAGGAAACTATTCAAATACAGTTAGTGTATGCACATTAATAAAAAATCTGGCTAATAGTGGAAAAATTAGAAAAAATTTGCTCTGATAGTAGTATTTTGTGTTATCATAAAACTTACGGGGAAAAAAGTGTGTTTGGGTCTAATTTCCATGTGTTTATGGATGAGGAAGGATATTGCTTCATTTGTAGAGGCATATTTTTTATCCTTTCACCCTCCTGTCCCTCACGCCTCTTCTTCTTCTTCACCCACAAACATTTCTGTTTAAAGATAGATCCCATTCGAGTGTGACAGAGTGGCAGAGATATCAAAGTTTCATCAGTATAGGTGAGGAAATTCTTTGAATTAAATTACCCCTAATAGTTTTCCATCACAGTGCCAATTTGTAGTGGTCAAAGGCAGCGGCCTGCATATTCCCACGGAAGTATTCTACTGAACAGAGAGAAGGGCAATAGGAGGTTAGATTTCTAAGTATTTGTGTTGATAACAGAAATCTTGGCTAGAGGCAATACAAATGAGATACAAATCATGAGAACAGCTGTCATTAGCTCTGCTGCTCATGAACTTACTTATTAGAAGATGCAAATGGATGGTAGCTGCATACAGATCCTACCTCTCCCTCTCCTGGTAACACAGACAAACTCTCCAGCAAATATAAAATCCTGTGTCTGTCTTCTTGGTTTCTGTCCAGCACCTATGGTGTCCAGCAGTTACGGGCCACCTTTACTCTGTTATCCTAGTAATTTAGTAATACAGAGGGAATCACTCACTTTTATTACCACTTGCATGAAACACAACTGCCTAGGAGCCCAGAAGTGCAAAGCATCAGTATAAGACAAGGCCCAAGGAATACCTTAGCCAGCTGGAATGCAGGAGTCTCGCCCGCAAAACCAAGTGATAGTCTTTTTGACTTCTGCAAACACGGCCTGGGGTTGTTAGCAATCACGACCGGCGGAGGCCTGAGCTCATTTATTGTCTGGGAAATGACACCTCTGACACAGTGCTGCTGCTGGAGTGCTGGTAGGGCTCTGACTCACTGCCATGCCACCTCTTTCTTCCAGACCTGAGCGTTACTAGCATGTAAAGGTTGACCCATTCACAGAACCACGTGGGGTGGCAGCAGGCCATAACGTATAACCTTGGCTACAATGCTCTTTCCAGAGACTGATTGTGAGTTTCTTGTTGTCTAACGAGCTTGTCATTTCCTGTACTGGTTGTAACAGAGCTGAATATTTTCTAGGTTACCTAACCAAACTTCTGCAAAATCATACTGCCTATGCCTGCGATGGGGAACATTTGAGTCTACACTGTCCTCGGCATTCAACAATAAGTGTTCAGTCAGCATTTTACGGGCAAGACTACCACATGTGTAGTACTCAGGAGCCTGAAACCAGGATAACAGAACCCATAAACTGTGTGGCACCCACTTCTTTGCAGGTATCGCATGTTGTAAAGGTTCTTAATGCGCATAATGCTTTTGACATCGTCCTTGTGGTGAGCTATGCTGCGTGAAATCAGCAAGTGTTCACAATATTGTGTGAAATGACATCATGTCTATGTCAGTTTACCAGAACTTTATCGGAAGTGTTACAACAAAAAGGTTCATCTGGTCAGCAGGATAAAGCTTTGTAGATTGCCTTCTATTTTGATAAGCTTTGCTTTGGAAACCCCATCCTCAGAGTTCCCTAAAAGAATCAATTCCCTTCTGATCAAGGGCTGGTCATGACTGAGCAGACCAGTCTTAATCCATCACACAGGCCCTCCTTATCTCCGGGAGAGGATACAAGCATTGGAAGAAGTTGGGTTACAAATTGACTGAGTAAGATGGCATTCTTGTTGGTGTATGGCTTGTTCCATGCCTATCTTCACTTGCAGAACAGACACCATAAAGCTAAACAGCATATCCTAAGCACTTTTGCAAATACCCGCATTTCTGTGAATACATTATTTGATCAGTAATATCCTATGGTTTGTTTGCTGGGCCCACTTAAGTATAGCTTAAAATGATTTATACTTCATAAATTATTACTTTCTGCTGTGGAGACTTCTGTAACAAGGCTTAGAAGATCTGACTTACATTGCTGTCAAAGGCTTGTTTCATCATATTGAAAATGTCCAGTTTTAGGCCAAATTCAGTAAAACATTGGAAAAATGAGTAGTCAGAGAAATCTGAACATGTTCTGTTGGTGAAGCAGTTTAGGTGCTCTACAGAAGCTTTGATGAAGCTTGCAACTTTTGTGCTTGCAGCTGACACATGCTTCTTGACAACAGGGAATGTCTGTTCCCACCACTAGTGAGCTGAAGAGTTTTACAGAGTGGTTTGGCAGTAATATCCTCTCTCCAGAAACAATATTAAGGCAGTTTTATAAGTGTGGCTTGCCCATGCTGTACTGCAACTTCTAAAGACATTCCAGACATGACCTACAGGCCATGTGAAAGTACATCTCTCCACCAAAAACAGTAGGCCAGATGCATCCTTGATGTCATTTTACTGACTACAGTGAAGTGACGCCAATGATTATTTTAGGCTTTTGAGTTCCTTTGTGAGGTCTCCATGGGCAGTTTTTTCCCTTGAATATAATAAACACAGCATGGAATAACTGTTGTATAAACTATCATGATCATTCAGGCACTGTTGCTGATCAAAGGCATGAAAACATTTTGACAAGGCCACAAACGTGAGAGGTACAAATGCTCTGCATCTTACGGAGGCATCTCCTGTTCTGTCAAGGAGAAGAGATGCATTCTGTAAACTGATTTCTTAGAAAAGAGCACCAGTGATCTCATCCCTCCTCCCCTTCCCTTTGGAACTGCATCTGCAGTCTGCATAATTGGGCATGATGCTACCCTGCAGCCAGGAGGAAGCATAACAGGCATGTTTTACAGTGACCTCCTATTAGAAGGATCACTGCAAAGTTAAATCTGTCTCAAGATCTTAACAGCACAGTACTATCTCATTATGAATATCATTGTTTGCTTTTGTGGTTGCATGTTATTGCACAGCAACATGATAGAAAATGTGCCTGCTGTTTGCATTAAGTAGGAGAAAATACAAACATACACAGGAGATGATTCAGCTCAGGTGCAAACAGAAGGTGACTCAGTAGGGGACAGCTATTTCCACTTACTAAAGACGTAACTCAATTTCTCTGGCCTGTTCCAGAACTATCCCAATTAAGGAGGAGTTATTTGTTGGACTTGCAATTCCGTAAAAGAAGAATTACCTAATAAAATTAAGTCTGCTGTGCTTTTCCTTTCCTTTTAAACTCTTTAGAGTGCACTTAATGCTCAAACAGTGTTGGATGCAAGTCCTTTTCTACTAATGGGAACAAAAAGGCAAGAGTGTTATAGGATTGCTGCAATGTGCTGCCAGTGTGTATCATTTCTGCTAGGGAGGGATGGCTTCCAGGGATGACAGGAGAGATTCAGCCACTGCCAACTCAGCCTGGAAACATGAATGCAGCTTGTGCTATCACAGTGGTAAATTTGTGATTTGGCCTCTTGGTATGACTGAAAACTCTTCTGATGAGCAAAAATTCCCATGGATTTTATGGGAGTACCTAAAACTACCAGAGAATGGTTCTTAACAGCTGCTTGTGTTAGGAGTGGGGTGACCCAGAGACAACACCCTTCTTATCACAGCCTGCTGGGATTTTAAACATTAAGAATCCTGGGCACAACAACACAGACTATGCAAAAAGCGTATAGACAGCTCTCTCTAAACTGAGTTTTGAAAGTGAATAAGAATTTTGTAAGTGCCCTGCTGCATTGAAACTGGGGTTTTTTAGGTGCTTTGGCTTGTGACTGTGTTAAAAACTGGATGCGGACTCATCTTGGGCAGTGTCTTCATATTTTCTATAGCTTCAGCTCCAGAACCACCGATGAAGTGGCAACACTAATGTGAGCACTAGGAATACTCAGTCCTTTTACTGGACTTGGAGAGAGCCCATATGACCCTTTGTGTTTAACACTGCTGACCTTTTTATTGTCCTCCTCTGTTGCCACTCCCAGTGAAGCAGCACAATAAGCACCATGGTTTATTGTTGGGCAAACAAAAAAAAAAATCTGGGGTAGATATGGCCTTAGAACAGCATTTAAGAAATTAAAAAAACCCAAAGCAAAACAGACAAGCAGGCTTAAGATAGACAGGCACATCTGTGCTATCTGATTGAACCAATGCTGAAATTTGTTGAAGTGGCAAGTCAAGTAAATACGTGATAATGTGTGTAACTGCAAGCGAGAAGTGCCCCTTAAACAGGAGGTCCTACATATAGCTTAAAGCTCAGGTTGTGCTTTAACTGTCACTAAGCACACTAAGTCTTAGTTAGTGTTAGAACTTAGAAATCTTTCAAGTGAAGATACTACAAAATGAGTGTGATCAGGTAAATTTAAGTAGATGGAGACAGAATTGTTAAAAAGACATCTTTTTGAGTTATCATGCTTTACCTGGACATGGCGCTCCCATAAATGCTATGAAGAGTGAGTGCCTCAGGCACATCAGAGGCTGGGGGCTGAGCATGTTCCCACTTGCTCAGGGCTCTGCACAGAGGCCCATGTACCACTGAGGCTGTGGTGGCACAAGGCAAGATATGGCTGACCTGCTGGGGGCAGAGGAGAAAGTGACAAACAACAGCAGATTGGTAACATCCTGAGTTGCCCTGAGCTGTGATGACTGTGTTCCCAGAAACTTGGCCGTGACTCAAAGTCCAGTAGAGCTATGGCCTAAATCCAATGATACAGATGTTTCTTACATGTTAGTAGCCAAAAAGATGTGAAGGAATGATTTCTCTCCTGTATAGAACAAAGTACAACTAAGTATTCTCATTGCTGTATAGCTTCATACCTTGTTTTCAAGCCTATCCTTTTTGCCCATTGTTCTAGAAAGTACTGGATGAATGCCAAAACCTGAGATCCTGCCAACTCCTTGTCAATAGTCGGGTTTTTGGGCCTGATCTGTGTCCAGGGACCACTAAATTCCTCCTTGTCTCCTTTAAATGCAAACCTAGTAAGTAATCCACATCAGGCAAATGTGTTTTTGTGTGTGTTTTGATGTTTGTTTTGGTTAAAATGCCACTGCACAAGGCTTTGCATAAATCCATGTGAAGTTTTGAGACTCTTAGATTAATAGCAGATTGGTTTTTTCTACTTCACCTTAGCTTTCCATTGTGTTTGCAACTTCAGTGCACTTGCTGCCAGATTAATGACCAGTGTAGTTTGGCAGACTCAGATGTCAGACATCAGACTAGAAAGAAAAAAGGTTTTGCGAATTATTTTTACAGAGATGGCAATGATAATGTTGTATTAGAAAGAGCTGAACACCAAAACAGATGCTTGGGCTAAGGATCCAAATGATGAAGAAGGTGTCATAATAAGAAATATACAAAAATGGTTAAGGAGGTAGGACCAAAGCTTTCAAAGATTCTCTGTTACTACCTCCCATTTATGGAATAGTGGCTGGAGGATACACACGTGTGGCTAGCTTTATTACAGAATTTCATTGTAGAATCACATGTATTCTGTGTAGGTAGTTGATGTTGACATGTAAAGGAACAAATCCTGCCTCAAAGAGAGTGCACTTTGTAAACATGAGGAAAGTGTAGGAAAGATTAAGACAATCTTCATGAGGTTTCATTTATCAGTGTTTTTTAATTGTTTTTCTTATTGCTGTTGCATATGAGAACAAGCCCTAGTAGCCCAGAGGCTCAGCTTTTTTGGCAGCTAACCCCCAGTGTGGCTGAAATGGGTCCCAAAGAAAATAGTTGAATGATGATTTATGGGTAGGTCCCCCAGCCAACTCAGAAATACCATCCCACAACTAATGAAGAAAGCACAAAAGGGATTTTCTTTGATCAGAGCATTAAGATGACTATCATAGGTGGAATACGAACAGGGGTGGTAAGCAAAGTGAAGGGCCAATTTATGCAGAGTATTGAAGTCAGAGCAGAGATACAGGAATGGAGTAGGCAGATGTTACCATTGGCAAATCACTGGCACAAGAACTCCCAGGAAGATTTACTGGGCCAATCATGAGGGGAAAAAAAAGTCTTAAATATAAAATGTTAATAATCTGGTTAATTATCTTAATGGTTTAATTTATTTTTTTTCTTATTAAAATTGCTGCATTATTAATAGTAGATGGATTTTAATTTCATATTTTTGTCTGTGTTATTAGAGATCTCTTTTTACTAATCAAAAGTAGATGGGGATCCTGTTTGTTATTTTTATTAGCTGCTTTTCCCACTGGAAATGAGCTACATTGAATATATAATATTCTTTGTGATATGAATTTTTAGAAAAGCAAGTCAAAAGTGTATTTTACAGCAAGTGCTGCCTTCAGGATTGAGGACTAGTGCAGTTACACTGCAAATTACATGATTTCATGTGACAGGAAATTTATATATGTAGGTAAGATACCAATATTGTTAGGTTTGGCTGTGGAAAACAGCCTTACTCAGGAAATCACTCAAGTATAACTTTAAGTATATTTTACAGTCTCCTTGCCTTCAAGTGGTCACTTAAGCAGTTGAATCTCTGAATCTCTTAGTTTTTCATCTGTTTAGAAATATCATTACTGTATCTCTGCAGAGGTCTCTGTTACATTCTTATCCTTCTCTTATACCACTTGTGGGTTTATTTCTGTTCTTGTACTTCCATAGCCTCTGCAGCAACCACAGAGCACAGCCATACAGACACAGAGCCCAGTTTTAGGCTGCCAACCCTTGGGTCAAAGCCTCTGTTTTCTCAGCATGATCCTCATGGGCATATGGTGTAGCAAGTGCTTCTGCAGAAGTAACGATCTGCAGCAGGTCAATTGTTTTTTAAGATCACTCTTTTTTAGACTTACACTTGTGGCTGCTGATGAGCTCGAATGGAAGAAACTGGAATATTGCCAAGAACATTAACCCATTGTTTTTATCTGTTCTATTATAAATGAAACAATAATGTTTTCTTTACTGAATAGATAGGAGGCTTTTCTCTCTCCAGTTCCCCTAGCACCAACACCCACACTCCACTCACAGGGGTACCACTTAGTAACAATAAGATTTCCCTTTTCTCCTGCTCAGCTCAGGAGCCTCCTTTTCCTGTTTTCACATTTTGAAGGACAAAAAAATGGAGCAGAATAAACTCTTCTCACTGGTCTTATCTGCAGTAAAATGTTTGACACCATACCTAGATCAGGGGAGAATTGAGCAGTAAAAAGCTGCAACCAGAGCAGCTGATAGACCAGCAATAGACCTCCTTGGCCAGATGTCCAGTTTTGACCAGTTCCCTAGGAGGGATAAGTGGTGCTGTCTGGAAGATGATCTCACTGGCTTCCAACCTTTGTGCTGAGAGTGCTGCCAGTGTGCCTGTGCCAGCTGAGAAAGGGAGGGAGTGTGTGTTTCTCAGGCTCCTGATTCACATTGCTTTTTCAGCAAAATGAGCCTGTGCTGGATAGTCACGTCCAGGGAAACCCACTGACCTTGGTGGAGCCAAGCAAATACAGCTGAGAGAACTGTCTGGCTCAGGATGCGTAGCCAGTCCCCCTGCCTTTGTGCCTCCCATTCTTCAGCGCTCGCCCAGTGCTGTATGCAGTGGCACTGAGTGATGCCAGCCATCCCCATGATTGATGAGTGGCTGGAGGCTCTCAGCACTCAGGCAGGCATCTGAAGTAGGCACAGAATACAACATTGTCCTGGAGAGAGAATAAAAGGAAAGGACGAGGCTTCTCCTGCTGAGCAGCTGTGGAAAGCAAGCCAGGACATCGGGCAGGAGGGGGGGAGGCTGTTCCACCGGGAGAGATTGGCAAAAGGTAACTTTTTAATTCCATTCAAAAAGGAGCTGTAGGCTTTAGGTAGTCCTATGGGAGCAGTTCAGCTGGAGGAAACATTCCGCTTTACTATTGGCTTTGTCTCTGGTTGTGATAGTGCCGCATGGCACTCACAACAGAACTTGCAGAAAAGCTGTTTTCTGTCATGCTGCTATTTGCTACTAACAGTCCAGCCAAGTAAATTGCCTCATGCTACCATATTGTTATTTGCTTCTATTTTAGCTGAATACAAAACCAAGTCAGCCTGTGAAAACCAGGAACTGAAACTCCACTGTCAAGAGTCCAAGTTCCTTATCATCTACTCTGCCACCTATGGCAGATGGGCACATGAGGAAAACATCTGCTCATCAGAAGTGGAGCGTGTACCCCCCTTTGGTATGTTTTTACCCTGTTGACAGACCTTCTCCAAGCAGGTGCACAAAGAAGGGTGAGAGAAAACTTCAGGTGCAAGAGCAATGGCATTTGAAAGCATCAATGATTGAAAAATGAGGTTATTTCTGAAAGTCAAACAAATTACCCAGTATGAGGGACAAACATAGAGTAAGACATATAGCAAAGTAATAAACTTTCATATAGTTGATCAGTCCTTAGTATGATTAACTTCAAAAACTAGTTCTGTTGACTATCCTGAACTTAGGTGGTATACACTAAATATCAACTGTTTGCCTTTCTTCTTCCTCCAACTTCTGACGGTGATTAGGCAACCTGAGTGTCATGACACTTTGTCTTACTGTTACCTTCTTCTCTGACCTCTGTTTCTGCCAGCTTTTCCTTGCCTTAAATGCAGACTGTAAGGGTAGGGTACATAGGTCAGGGTCGATTGCTTTAGATGCTGTTGTATGTCCAGACTCTACAACCATGACAGTATACTAGAAAATTAAATGTGCCTGGGACTTCTCTCTGGCAGCATCAGAGATGTCCTATGTATATAGTATTAACCTCCTACCCTCCAAAGCAGGATGGTTGCATGGAAACTGCTTCTTGGGGCTGCTCCTTGGCCTGTGCTGGCTCCTCAGCTGTGATGGAATGTTGCTGAGAGGATGCTGTTGGCCTGGGCCAGACAGGCACAGGGACCAAACTTACCAGAGTAGAGCCCTGCATTGCAGTGCCAGAAACATGCCCTCTCACTGCTGATTTACTAGTACAGATACATCCCTTTATATATTAATATATAATATCAACGTCACTATATTAGTAATTAATATAACGAGAAACTATTAATGTTGCTATAATATTAATAGTACTTTGGTCAGACTGTGAACACATCCAAGCACAGACAGTTCCCTTTTGAATAGGTAAAAGAACCCAAACCATCATAAGTAGTTTTATGGTCTACATCAGTAACAAGTCAGTGACTTCACTGTAGCATCTCAGTAGTGTATGAATAATGGCTTATGACTTACTTTCTACCGCTAAGTATCTAAATTCATAGTAGTATGTTGTTGTGAGGGTGCTTGATGATTGTATGAATAATATGTTCACTGGTTGACACTGGAGGTGTGAAGGTAAATTTTCTTGCCATGGAGAAGGCCAGCACAAGATATGTGTGTTGTTCAAATCCCTTGATACCACACAGGGAAGGACTTACATTGCTGATGCCAGCCCTGTTCTGAACGTACTCCTAGGAAACATGGTACAAGTGAAATCTATAAGAAGCATCTCTGAACATCAAGAAGAGATCTGTAATGATCAATAGACTTAAAAGCCATTTGTCTGCAAACCAGTATTTCTATTTAGTTATATAGATATTATTAAAAATGTATTGGCTGAAAGTTCTTAATCTGTTCTTAGACAAGAATCTATTTAAAATTGCCAAGACTATGTTTCACACTGGCTATCTTGTGTGGTCCTTCACACAGACTTTAGCTCTGCCTATCAGCTGTTCTGTAGAGGAGACATTTTAGCAGGTTTCTGACAGACCCATACATACTTCATAATGGTGGTATTATTTTATAATGTAAGGCAGAGCAGAGATAGCTCACTTGATTGAGAAAGGCTGCTGTCATACTCATTTCTTGAACTTCATTCATCTCTGGAAATCACTCTAATGTCAGCACTTAGAGTTCACAGATCAGAATGCTGGAAACCCTTCTTACTGGATAAAGTTTCCCAGTATAAATAGAGAAAGCAATTTGCAACAACAAAAAGCTCTCTGCTGTGTCCCCCTGCATATGAGCTTGAGCAACATCCTGGCTGTTGCTGGTTTTGTGCTCCATAAAGCAACCTAAAACTGTGGTAATTGGAGAGAATATAAAACCTGAGGCAAACAGAAGGTGGATCTACAGAAGGTAGATTTTCCATTACTTAATGAAAGTGCTTGGCCTCTTCCTGCATGGTACCTCAGCAGTGAGTATAATTTTCAAAAGCACCTGTGTGGCTTGGGAGTACACATTCAGTTATCACAAAAGGCGTAGCACTTATGAGCCAAATCCAGTTGATGCCACATCTGTCAGCTCAAGCTTAAATCTTAGTTACGCAGTTATTTAAGCATATACAGATGTGAGTGGGTGCATGATTGGACTTGTGTACCTTCCTCTCAGGAAAGTGATGAATGTGAATGTGATTTTAACGATTTGAGACAATTTAGAAGACTTACTTAAGCTGCCCCTAATTCCTGGATCAGAGCCCATGTACTTGCATATGTCTGCACCAAAACCTAAATCTTCTCCAACACACATCCATTGTTGTTTCCGCCCACGCTTGTGCATCTCAGCCTAAAGGCAGTGCTTGAGCCTTTCCATTTCTTTCACAGCATCACAGGGAAATTGGGGTGTTTTTTAGGACTAAGAGAAGTCATCTGTAGGTCATAATGACAAGTGTAAGAGGTCTCTGTTTAGCTCAAGGGTTTTGCTACTATCCATACTTGATATGGTCTTGCTAGGAGTACTGGGTATTGAATTACTTACATCTCCAGAGCTTGGTGACCTCGTGTGACCTCCTTCAAAGGGAGCACAGGAGAATGTAAAATTTCTTTAGTATAAAGGCTCTTCTCCATATTGGAAACAGAGTATATAAATCCATCTCTGGTGCTGATGGACTTGATGGTATCTGTGTGGCCTTGTAGGATCCTCAGCCTCAGCTCAACATGTAGCATGACTGCCTCTTCTTAGAACTAGTTTCCTGAGGCAGTTTAATAATGTAAATTAGGCGCCATTTTCAAAACAGAAGAAGAAAAAGAGCAGTGGCACCATGGTGTCGCCCCTGCTAGGTAAAGCCTTTACAATAAAGTTGTCCTATGGTCTGGTTACAGGAAACATACATTCAAGTCCCTGTTCTGATTCAGATAAAGGGATTTGAATCTGGGTAAAGATTTGAACTGCTGAGTACAAGAATGTCTCTAACCTGTACTTTAGCTGATAAGACAGCACTGCTTCAGTCCCAAGACTGATACCTAATTATATGTGTAACTTGCACATTTCATTTCAAAATGTCTCGTGCTTGTTAAAAATAACCAGAAACTAAAAGCTGCACTTAGAACAACTCCTCTTGCTCAGTGCAGTTTGAGGGAGAGGGAGGGTTTGTCAAAGAATGTGAAATTTCCACGTAAGATCACTAGAAAACATTTTTCCTAGTTTTTTGTCACTTTCACAATTGAACTGAAATATGGTATTTTCATGTATCTCTGGTCTAGCTCCCCGACTTGTCATCAGGGCCACTCATTCTACTGAGTTGCCCACTTCAAAGAACAGTGTGTAAAATCTTGCTTCCAGGCATTTTTTAGGATATTTTGCTTTCAGGAAAAGTTTCTTCTGCAAAGCAAGCTCCTACCGTAAGTAACAGAGTTCATTGAAGCACAAGGAATTATTTCCATTATAATGTCAATGGATCATTGCAGGAAAATAGAAAACTCCAAGCAGTGTCCTGCTTCAGCAGCGGTTCAAATGACTGGCACTGTTAAAACCGTACAGTATTTACAGAAAGTAACTTCCTTGTTTTATAAGATTATAAAAAACTTCACAACAAAACTAAAACTTTTATGAGTGCAGTTTTGTAATGGATGGTTCTGCTTAGAGGAATCTATTGTGCCCAGCACCAAAGCAGGAAACCGTAGCAGTTTGTTCCTGTGTGAGTTGTTCCCTTTTCTGAAACATTATCTCCTTTATATTTGTACTAACATGTGCATGAGGAAAGAGAAAATGTATTAGCCAAAAGAAGTTAAAGAGTTGTGCCAGAACAGGTTACCACAGGGAGTATAAGGAAGATTCAGGTCAACAAACACTTCTCAAATCATAAATTACTCCTGTTAATACATGAAAGTACTTGAACAAAGGCTTGGTAGTGGGTCTCCTCTAGCTGCAACTTGCAAGCTAGAATGCCAAAATGTCCTTCCCAGAAATTTCACCTGGATGTGCATTGGCTGGTCAGATGTGCATTCCCTCAAGCACTAGTGACTCTCAGAGCCCTGAATTACATATCTTCATTGCTTCATTCACAGCCCTCTTTTTCACCTGTTCCAACTTTTGGGAGGTTGAGAGGGGAGGTGTAGAATTTAGGCAGTATCATCACATCATGCCCTGTAGCATGACATACCCTGGGGCTAGGTTCTGTCCTAATCCCCTCTTCCTAGTGAAATGACATTCAGCTAAGAGGAAGGGATGTTAGCAAGGCAAGACAGAGAGATTTTGAAAACCCCAAACACTGTAGGCTTCTTTCAGCCCAACAAGACATCGTAATTTTGAAATATATACAATATCTTGTGATACTGAGGTTCCTTTTTGTGTGTGTGTGTGTATCAGTACTGTGAACAATTCAAAAGGCCTACACCCCTTATTCACTAACAGTGACTGAAAAGCATCTGGTTTCTTTCTCTGAGAGGGAGATGTATACTCCTCCTAGCGCGAACCAGTCTCTTAAGTCTCTTGAGAGCAGATGTAAATGAAGTAAAGGTACAAATGGCTATAGGCAGATCTGGAAATGTTTACACGCTGAAGTTAGTAGGTTCGTGCCAGCTACAGACTTCGAGGTGCCATAAAATACAAATCATGTAAGCTGGCCAAAATCTAAAATGGATCCAAAATGCTGGATATCGATGTACAGACACTTCAAGAAGCACTTAGTCAATTAACAGAAACACTAAGTCCAATCCTCTGCTGGGGGAAGAAGAAAGCTTGTAACTCAGAGCTGCTACAGAAAGGTGACCAAGTCCTTTCTAGACTACAAGTATTTCTGGTTCAAGGGCTCGGTATGCCCTTCCACTCCTGAGCATCATCGTGCTCAGTTGTTCAATTTTGCTTCCACCACAAAAATCTTTAAGTCAACTCTCTGTGCGCAGACATATGAGAAGTTCCTTGTCTATGTCAGCCTGAGCAAACTGGGAAGCTTAGTAGGTGTTTTGGGCCCCAGAAGGTGCCAGTAGGAGCCATTGCACACCTTGGCCCCAACAAATCTTATCAAGGAAAAGCTCCCCAAACAGAAAAGCTGTTCAAAGCAGTGGCAGGATGAGAAGCGATTGTTTGAAGGGAAGAAGAGAGCAGCCACCATTCTTAGAGTCCGGTTAACTTTCTGCTGAGGTGAATGGGGAAGGTCACATTTGGCTGAGCAGCTGTTTGAAGTGACACAAGTCACTTCATCCATTAATATTTTATTTGCCAGCAGTTCAGGGGTTTTCTTGTGTACTGTTCTTTCTACCTTAGATTTTTAACTGTTTGGAAAAGTACACTGAGCACCCAAGTCTAAAATAAGGCAAGGAAGTCCTGCCTCTGTACGTGCAGGCCCAAGTGATGCAAAAGATGGAGTCTTACTCCTGGTGCTGCCACCGAGCATGGAGCTCCACTTGTCTCTTGCCCTTGATGTTAGTGCTGGCAGATGGTTCCCCTACCCTGTGCATTTGCATGTGCAGGAAGGAGAGAAGGACCAGGTTTGGGTTGGGTTTTTTTTGGTGCAAAATACAGACTGAATTCCCAGAGCCGTTTGTAAATAAAATCAAGCAATGGGCTCATCTCATGCAGGTTTACAAGGGCCTCACAACAGGCACTGAAGTGAGAGCGAGAGAGAGGTTGCGGCTTTACAGAAAGCCTTGGTGCTCTGCTCACTTCTAACGAATGGCCCTTGCTGACAGTAAGCAGTATTTTTAGCATGTGATACTGCCTTGTTTACTGACAGTATTTGGACCTGGAACATAAAGGTATTGGCAACACTTTTCATAAGTGCTGCTGGTCATATTGCATGTTTTTGCTAGAATCAGCGGTTCAAATGGCCCTTTTCTGAGGCATAGGCAGGAGACTGTGTGCCATGCTTTTGTATAAATTACCATCTCATTATGGTAACTTTCTTTAGGAGTCTGCAGCCTTAGTTTGCTCCGAAGTCCACAGTTTCCCCTTGTCAATTCTTATCCCCACAGCTGATATTTGGGCTCCACAAAGCACAAGCCATCCCAATTTGGTAGTGTGAAATCTTTGCTTTCAGCTGATTTTAAAAGCAGGCTCCTTATTCTTTTATGGCTATACACAGCCCAGAAAGCATAAAGCAGTGTAAGCCAGCAGTTTGGGATGAAAACAAGAAGCAGCTGGGCTCCAGTATTGGAGTGACAAATTGTGGAGGGGTTTCTTTCTTGGGTGCCCTGGTCCTTCACCAGCACATTACTTTTTATGTCATGCAGTTCTGTATTTGAGACACGTTCCCTTACCATCATGTCTTGGGGCTTGCCCTGTGCATAGTGATGTGGGAGAAGACATCAATTAGTAATGTTTGGAGAGTGAGGCAGGACACTGCAGCCAGAGCTTGGCACAAGATGCTCAGGCGAGCTCTGGCTGCTCCATCACCTGGAGGTCTTGTGTGGCAGGGTGGAAAGAAAGGGAGGGAAAGCTCTTCCTGTTTGAATTGAGAAAAGCTTTAAGAAACCAGAAGACAAATTGCTGCTCATTAGAGCCTGCATGATTTATAGCATGTCATTTGCATGCCAAAACTTTCCTAAACAAAGCTAATTAGGGAGCTGAAAGGACCTTTCCTCCAGAAACAGTGCTTTCTACTCTAACTGTTAAATAGCTGTAGTCAGATCTGATAGTTTATTACTGCATTAAGAACCTCTTTTTGACACCCGTATCTCCATGCCATCCATATAAGTGTCTGCTTCAAAGATCCACCAACAGTCTTGGTGTGTAACTGGCAACTTTGGGAGAAAGGCATGAAGAATGGAGTGTTTTCCCAGCCACACATCGCTGCCTTTTCCGCCACTGCTGGTGGATGCCACCAGCCTTCTAGCACACTGGCAACAAAATAAACTGCCTTTCAAGAGGCAGTTTATTTTAAATGTATGGTAGCAATTTAGCAAGGTCCATAAACATAAATGATTTAGTTTTAGGTAGTTCTGTGAGGAGCAGGGAGTTGGTCTCAATGATGCCTTCCAACTCGAGATATCCTGTGATCCTATGTGTAGCTCAAACATTACTTAGTCAGAAAGAAGACACATTGCATATTTATGTTCACCTCCTGATTGGTGATCTTTGGAACTGTTCAATGAGACCATTCACCCATTTACTCAAAATGCAGCACTGACTGAATCCTCTCCGTATTCAGACACTGCAATAAGGCGTTTGACCAGAAGGAGAGTAAGTTGTTCCTAGCACAAGCTCTGTGTTGCTGGAGGTGGATTGCTATTAGAATCAAGCATGTTTGGCTGATACTAGCTTGAACATCCCTTCAGCACACACTGATTCCTCTGATTTTGGTGCAGATACACTTCTGTAATGTCTGCTCATGTGAGATTGTACAGACGAACCTTCAAACGTTGAAAAAGTGGCCTTCGGTACCAAGTACACAGAATTCCTCAGAGCTGAAATCATTGCTCAGCTGGCATCATAGCTGCAGGGAGAGCTAGTGGGGAGATAGCAAGGACACACATGAACCAGAGAGAAAAAAACTGAACATTTTTTGACTGAATCACCAAAAGCCAAGATCTTGTTAGACCACAGGAAGCTGTCGAATAGGAGTTTTATTGTTATGGGTCTTTCCAGTTAGTAACTGTGCTGTCCTGCAAAGTCAAGCCCACCTTGATTTGCATTTACTCACCTGTGACACCAGGCAAGCCTTGGGAAGCTCTCCAGAAATTGGCCTGCCAAGAGCCTGCAGGCACATAACAACTGGCTCCTCATGTAGAAGAGCCAAATCCAACATGAAAATAGATGATAAGGAGCTATTAACTTCCACCGAAAACACAGCAAACGTCTGCCAAAGGCAAAATGAAACATGTACTCACTGTATCACTGAATTTATAGAAAACCAGCCTCCTGTTTTTTAAGACACTGAGTAGCTCCCAGGAAATTTTGTAGAAAACATAATTCAGTTTGGAGCACAACAGCCAGATTGCTGTTGTGCTCCAAATCCATTAAATTATGAATCATCAGATAATTCCTCCTGATATTCTTTAGCTGTTTTCATACTTGCCAAAATAAGCTACTTGGCTGCCTAAAATGTCCACCCAAATATATCATTACTCATCTAAAAAACTAAAACTGGAGGAAAGCTAAAATGGCAGAGTTACTTAATCAGAACTACCCAATGTTTTAGGTCAACCCTCCCTGCCTGCCCGGCAGCCTCCAGGGACACATGGACCTTAGGATTTCAGGTCTCTGAAAAGACAAAGGAAGAGTTGCTCTCCCAAAAATCCATGTCCAAAGGTAACCCGTGAATCCTTTGCCAAACAAACAAATCAGCCCAGTATCTCCCAATGGCTCCACTCAAGTATATGTCTTATTTAGTGCTGGTGTCAGGGGATTAACTCTAAAAATCATAAATCTGCCCCATTTTCACAGGTCAAATGTCAATCTTCTTTGCCAGGAGCTCCAGTCTCAAACCTCCTCTTTCTTTTCAAACAAGACTGATTTGGGGAACCTTCGGAGTGTCTTTGCAAGCACCATTTCTCCTTCTTCTAAAGAGGCACAAATAAGCTTCAGCAGTAGGAAGGTGACAGGATGCAATGCTTGTCTGAGTTTTAGTATAGGAAGAAGTATTTTTAATGCCCAGAGAAATATGTTTTCAGACCTCTAGAGTGTCCTTGCCTTGGAAGACTAGAGTGAGAAATACCTGTCATCCGTGGAAAGTCATAAAATGCATGAGGTAAAACTGACTGGAAGCAGACAGCTTCAGAAAAGTATTACTCCAGACTTGTCATTCCTGCATACTTTCTGTTTAGAAGCCAAAACAGATTTTTTTTTCTGGTGTTTTGGAGGTTAGCACATGTGGCTACTGGGAATTTAATCACATCTAGAGACATTCTTTTTTTAAAGCAAATTTTTTACAGTTTGTCTGATACACTCAAATAGTTTTGGGGTCTGATACACTTTCCCACTTAAATAATTTCAGATTTGTTGCAAAATCCTGCTAAATGCATTTTATTCTTTTATAAATTGTGGTAGAAGGTGTGAGTCTTGAATAAAGAAATACCAACTCCAGGTATAGATGTTAGCAAGGCAGGTTTTCACACACAGCTCATACTTCTCAGTCACAGGGAGAGGTTCAGCAATCTGTGCTTTCTTCATCTGCACAAAGACAGGGCTAGTTTAAGCTGCTTTGAAAATGATGTGGGTTACCTCATGTAATCAGGGCATGAAGGCAGTGCAGTGTAGATGCCATTGGGGTTGCTTTATGCATGCCGACTTGGCTTGTGGTGGCAGCCTTACTAGAACAGCCTGGAATTTGGTATGGGAGGAAGAAGCCAAATATTTCCCTGGTTAAATATTGAGCCCATGTTGACCTTTTCACCACAGTAGAAGGGCTCCTACCAGCAACAGGCATTATAAATCAAAACCTACCTTTAATACACCAAACTTCACGGTAGCCCTGGCTGTTGCGACACACAGAAATTGATCTCACCTGACTTGAACTGAAATTAGGCATCCAGCCAAATCATCTCAATAACACAAGGACCAGGCGAAATACCTGCAAACAGCAGTCCATCTCCCTTTATTTACACGCTCATCTGGAGATGGAATAGACGGAGAGCTATTGGATGTGCTTATTTTGTCCATGTCATCCTGAAGAGAACATAGAGGTCTTATATTTGGCACCCATTTGGAGCTTGATATGAATTTTACTGCAACCTTAATGTGCACCTGGAAGGCAGCATGAGGTAGTTAGCCTTCTGCAAGTTCACATTTTCATTGCAGTTCACTTCCCTGCATAGACAAATCTTAATATTTAATTCTGAAATCCTGCTTAGGCAAACATATTCCTGAAATCAGTAGCAGATTTGTATCTCTAGTTGTGCGAGTGGCAGCCGTCATTTCTGGTACCACCAGTATTGTGTATTTATTGTATGTATTTTTCTTTCAGACTGTTTGTCTTACACGGCGCTAGAAGTTTTATCAAAAAGGTGTTATGGGAAACAGAGATGCAAAATCATTGTCACTAGCCAGGATTTTGGAAGTCCATGCCTACCTGGAGTGACAAAATACCTTAACGTCAGCTATGCATGTGGTAAGAGCAAATGCATGATCATTTTAAAGCCCTCATTCTGCTTGCAAAGCCAAACAATGCCAGATAGTGCACACATATGGAGACACACGCACACATTCGCACGGAAGCTTCCTAGATCTCCCCTTCCTTTTAACATAGGAAGTTTGTGACATAGCCATACCAGAACAATCAAAATATGTGAACAATCCCATGGGCAAAGCTGCACCTAATATAAACCCGGGCATTAAGAGGTTTTTTCCTGTGAAATGCGATTGATAATACAATATAAGGTATGTCTTAAATTTTGAGAAATACTATCAAAGTAAGAGTCTGTTCTACAGGATTCACCTGCAACAGAGCTAGGAAAAATAATCTGGCATTGCCTGCCATCAGTGCAGGTAAAGCAGTCTAGCATAATTGAAGCACTGTGTACAAGGCTAGTCCTGAAATCTGATTCACAAGAGCACACCTACAGCTTTCAGTCTTGCAGAGCGATTTCCTTTCTCATGGGTATAGTCCCATAAAAAGTAAAGGTTTGAGGTTATACATTCCTTGGAGGACTGAAGCTTACTTCAGCTCCTTCCTCAGACAAGAGAGAACAACCATAGACTAATGTATTTACATAAAGAGAAAGCAGAATTCCCCACATTTCTTTTTCTCAAAAGCAGAGGCCATGGGGGAGCAAAGCGTAGTATCAATAAAGGTTGAGAGAAAAGTGGTTAAAGGGGTTTCAGAATTTCACTGTAGTGCCTTATTTTGGTACTGCACATTTTTAGGAATGGCTGCCATTTCTTAAGCCTCAAGTGGATTTCCTCAGGCTCTGCTTTCCTCTGACGAGCTGTGGGGTGGAAGTGTGAGGGTCAGGGGTGATTGTCTCTCACGCGCCTCTGCTTCAACCAGAGGACACATAAAAGCTTTTTCACCAAGCTACCACTCTGCATACTGTGCACTGCTCAGAAGGGTGTCAGCCTTGCTCCTTTCTGGCTCTTTCTTGTGTGCACCTGAAGATCCGAGGAAAATGAGCCCTGGCTGCTTGCTGGCATGAGAGATTTTCTTTTCCAGTGTCCCCATGAGTTAGTTGTTAGTTGAGAGGCGTTGCAGTAATTCAGCTTTATATTGTTCAAGAGAGCTAGAGATCTGCCTTTGCACTAACACATTATATTATTGTGCAGTTGCCTTCATGCTGTAGTAACTTTATGAACAAGTTAATGGAATTTCTTTAAGTAGAGTAAGGGTAGTTATAACAGATTGCTCTTTCTTGCATACCTGTGTACTAGAAAACCAGTGTAAGTTTGTTTGCAGTGAGGTTATGCATTCTGTTGTTTAGTGAAGTGATTTTGCAAAAACACGTGGGTAATAAATAGTGTTGTTATGTGTTGCTGGCACATTTTGAAGACTTCTTCTTCTGCCAAATCCTACTGAACTCTGCAATCTGAAGCATTAGCCAATGATTTGCAGGTCTAATTGTTTTACGGATCATCTAGTGAACATAGGAAGTTTGGGCATATTCCAGAATGACATTTTATATTCTTTGCCCTCCCTGTAAGATCCCTGCTAACCTGATGCTTCCCAAGATGAGGTAAATAGGCCTCCCCCTGAAGTGACAGGAGCACAACAGAGCAGACCACATTCTCTGAGGGCTGTGCCACACTTGAAAGTATTTCCATTATGGTCGGGAATTTGAGGAAAAAAATCATACTCCCACCTCAGTGGTCAGCAACCATTTAGGGCCGGTGTGTGCGGCTGCATTTTTATTTTTGCAGTTAATTCCTGCCAGTAAAAACTCCTCAGGAGCCAGGAGGTGCTGGTTGCTCACAGCCTCAGCGCCCCCAGTGACCTGCTCGGTAACATCTCATGTCTGCACAGCTCTTGATGAGGCTGGACTTCAGGAGCCTGTCTCAGGAGACACAGCTTCTGGTGCCTCATGTTTTATCTGCATTCCCTGGATGCCAAAGTCCGTCTGTGGGCTGCCTTTGGCAGCTTCGGTAGGTGACAGAGTCCTACCCTACTTTACAAAGTAGTGCTGGCACAAGTTGTAGTAAAGATGTGATTATCTTGATAAAAATTCCTTATGGTAGTACCAGTTACTCTGTTCAGCGACCTGATACAGCCTATCCTAGTTAAAATCCTTGTGTCCAAAATGAAGCCATAATGAAAATTAACAATGAAAGCAGTCGGGAGCTTTTTTTGTCCATGCCATTTTGAATTAAACATCCCCTTACAACAAATATTTGAATGGCATCTTAAATAGCTGTTCAGCTATTAAAAGTGCTCAGCCCTGTAGCAAGCAAAGCCCTCGGAGGGGAGCGCAGGTGAAGGAGCCCCCGCCTGGGCACCAGGCCATGCAGCAGGAGCTTCAGGTCCCACGAAGTCACTGGGGCCGGAGCGTCCTTCCAGGACGTTCTTCATAACACACGCACATTGTTCACAGCAGCCAGGCCTGCAGATTCAGAGCGCAGTCTGAAAACAAACCAGCCTACTCACTGTCTGCCTCCTGCACCAGCAGAAATATCCTGCCACTGGAAAACAACTAAGAATTATGATGAGGTACAAGCCAAAATAGACATGAGCTCATTTTCCCCTATCTCTGTTGGCCTTCTATTGCAAACAGGAGCTAAAAAATCCCAAAAAATCTCTTCATCAGGAAAGGAAACAGCTACAACTTTGAGCCCACACACAAAGAAAAGTTCTGCTCAGAAAGAAGTGCTATTTTTAGTTGTTTTTTTCAAATGAAAACTATGCTAAGCCGCAAACCTCGGTCTCCTGTTTTCCATTTAACTTTCTTTAACACTATTTATTGGTAAATGTGTGTTTATGTGGGACAGAGGTGAGTGTCATATCTGAAATTTCTTCCTTTTCCTCCCCTTCACATCAGTCTGAAAATCAATCAATCTGCCTTCACATAGTACAGGGAACAGGTGCCAAGATCTGGGTATCTGAAGGGCCCATTCATTTAACACAGAATATGTGAACTCTCAGTGTCTGCATGATGCACCTGATTTTAACTCTTTTAATTATTTAAAGAGGAGTATGAAAACTTATCAGGGGAAAAAATTAATGAAATGAGAAGAATGCAGCTCATCTCACCCAGCGCATCTCTTCCCATCCTGCACACCTTCCTCATCCTTTCATCTCAGAGGCTTTGCAGAAGATGTCACACAAGAGTTTACCCATTTCTCTGTGAATTGCAACGAATTATCCTCATCCAAACCCAGTAACTAGATGCAGTTTAGCATCTGACTGTAGCCCAGTTGGCTCGCTACCTGTGTGTCCCATCGCTCAGGCTCGCTCTGCCTGCTGTGCTTGGCCTTGTCTCCCTTCCCTGCCCAGCCCTCCTTCCTTTCAGTCTCCTTCCCAGATACTTTATTCCCTTTCCCACCTCCTTTTCCTCACCAGCAGTGCGAACTCTGTGAGCAGCATGTGCTTTACCACTGTCCTGTGGTGCAGCATCTCAGTACCATGCCTCCTGGTGCACCTGGTGGTGGAGGGAGGAGGACATGTCACCAGGCACAGCCCCTCTCCTGGGGCACTTGCCAGCCGTCAGGGTTAGATGTATGGAGTATAACCTAGGGCATAGCTAGGTTAGTAGAAGTCAAGGCAATGCAGCAGACAGTGGCATCAGCCCCAGCCAGGACAGTTGTGGTGGGGATAAGCAGCACAGCTGTGCCTGGGGCTGCACCACCTCTGCAAAGGCTCACAGCCTGTGGGTGTGAGCATCTCTGGGCCACTGAGGAAGCTCAGGCTGGCTGCAGAGCTGGGTCCAGCTTGCACAGTGGCAGCACTGGCACTTGGCTCCGGATGCAGCTGCCTGCTCCAATCCCTTCAATACCACCATCAGAAACCCAGTTAACAAACCCAAGGTTAGCAGTAGGATGGGTAATTAACTGGGGATCTGGTTCCTAAAACTAACAGTACACAATTTGTCTTTTGTCTTTTTAGTTCCTAAATTTATCCTCACAGCTGTCAACCCCCTGGTCACCAATAACAAGACTTCCATCAAGCAGAACGATGGTATGTGCCATCAAAACATATGGTTTGCTGCTCTCCTTTGTCTTTGATCTGAGGGAGATGGGACAAGGTAATGGAAAACCCACTCAAACAGCTGCTTTTCCCCTCGGAGGGCAGCATGACAGGCTGGGAGCAGGATGGGACCTGCGGCAGCACAGTCCTGCTGTCACAGCAATGCTGCAAAATGAGTGAGCTGTCCAGACCTACCCATAACCAGTGCGCTGCCTTCTAACTTTGACTGAACACTGGGCAAAGGAAGAGTGAAACTGCAGTTGTTTCAGGGTGAAGAGTCTTTCAAGAGTTACGTCAACACCTGCTCTTCTTACAGGCAACAAAATTAATGATGTGGCTAATTTGTGTTCACTGTCATCAGTAATGGGAGCGTACTGCAGCGATTGGGCTGGGAAGTCCATTTGAGAGCTGTGAAGCTTAATCAAGTAAAATTATTTCAGAAGCCTCAATGGGAATAGGCAAGGGGTTTCACTTGGTGATAGATTCTTTTAAATAAACTTGCCATTTTCTAGGCATTCAATAATTTCAATACTTTATTATTTATACCTTATTTTGATATTTATTTTATTTATCAACCATTGCTTGGTATAATGTTCTGCACGGTTTCTACGGCACAGCACTGGCCTGCCTGTATTTTAGGTAGACTTGTTAGTTTAAAAGTTATTGGGTGAATATCAGTTTAGTAACTTCATCATCTGTGATATGATTGAATTTGCTTTACCTCCTTGTGTCACAGGTGTTGACCTTGATCCAAAGGAATCAAGACTTCCAAAGAAAGATGGAATTATTTTTAGCAACTACTTGGCTACATTTGCATACATTAGAGGTAGGAAACTGGGGCTGAGATTATTTGGTTCATTAGATCATGGCATTTTGGGAAAAGGAGGACTGTCTCAGAAGGTCACAACTGGTAATACCATGTTTATAGTAATGATGTTATTACAGTATAGTCACAGCCTTGTGGATGGGACAATCACAGCATAACTGATATTTATAGAATATTTTCCATCTTGAAGGATCCAAACTCTTTAAGAGACTGCAGCCAAGATATTTTTTAATAAATATTTTCAATGGGGACTGTTGGTTGTTCAGTATTTTTGAAAACTTGATCTGGGAGCAGTGCTGGAGACATCCGTTTTTGGAAATGTTGGTTTGCACACATATAAGGATCATCAAGGAGCAGTAAAAATAAAACCAAACCGAAAACAAACCAGCGCACACCCAGCCATCTCTGGTATGGGAAATGGCAGGTTTTGTGACTTAGCAACACTAAGGCAAATAAATTTGTGATTACTGGATCTCCAGCAACACAGGAGGAGTCACAGACTATGGAAGTGAGCAAAGGCTGTTGTGAGAGCGATTCTGGAGCTAAAATCGCTGCTTTTCTAGAAAACAGCAAGAACCAGGCAGCTGTCGAACATCATCCCACAGCCTTTGCAAGGGCCTCCCCAGCCAGCCCAAGGGTGGCCAGAGCCTGACAGCACAGCGAGACACTGTCCCTGCCGTGGCACCTGCCTGTCCCCAGCAGCTCTCCCCAAACCCCCGGACCCTACCACCCTTGAGACCCCACAGCAACACCCCAAGCAGCCAGGGCTGGATTTTACAATCCATTCAGAAAGACACGTTGCCACATGTGTCTCACTTGTTGCTATACTGAGAAGTGATCTCAGGCTATGTCAAGGAAATAAAATGCTCCCTACCCAGCCTTGCCTGGAGATGCTGCCATAGCTCTGCAGCGCCCAGAGCTTCTCTTCCCATCCCCCTCTTCATGAGGGTAAGGCCTGTTTTGGCAGGATGGCTGGAAAAAAAAAAAAAAGGGTATGCTTCTGGTAGCTGTTTGAGAGTGTTAGTAAAGCTGCTGATAAAAAGATGGGATAATGCTATTTTATGATGTTATTAAGAAGCTGGGATTTTTTGCACAGTAACTTGAAGAGGAGGAGATGGCAGCCTACAGACTGCAAGTGCAGGGTGGTTTCGGTGCATGATGGAAAAAGCCTCCCCCAGTTCCCCATCACCCCAAGCACACCCCACTGTTACGGCTATGTAATACGGGGCGCTTTGGAAATGACAGCTGACTTTTTTGCAGCTAGGCTTTGGCAGGGTTTGTAAAGTGTTTAAGCAATGCTGTCTGATTTCAGATCACCCTGAAAGAGCCGCCCTCCTGTTTGTGTCCAGCGTTTGTGTGGGATTGATCTTCACGCTGTGTGCTTTGGTGATCCGCACGTCGTGCTCGAGAGACTTCCAGAAACTGCACAGAAAGAAGGATCCCTTAATGCCAGAAAGAGCCAGAGTGTATGAGAACAGTGACAATGAGGAGGAGGAAGAGGAGGAGGAGGGTTCCTCTGATTCGGACGTCCAGGATGGGATAGTGGAACTTTACAGACCTTCTTACTCAGGTTACAATTCAACAGAGGCAGCAGAACTGGCCGAAAGGATAGAACGCAGGGAGCAGATCATACAAGAAATCTGGATGAACAGTGGTTTGGATATGACACCTCCTAGAAATATGGATGCATTTTATATTAATGAACAATAAATGGCTTATTTTGGATGATGCCCTAGCCCTTTTTTTTAAAAAAAGAAATGTACCTTCTGTGAAGGAACATTTGTATCAATCATATAATTATTTGTAAAGTAAGAAGGAATATATTCAATAAAAGAGAGTTTCAAACCCTCGCCTGTCTGTAAGTCATTCTGTGAGAAACCCTTTTACAGGCTTTCAGAGTTTTAAGTTATGTCATGTTATGAATTACTTTTCACTGTAATTTGGGATCAACTGCCATGTGCAGGTTAAGGCATATTAAAAAGGAGAAAAAATATTTAAGCAGCATAGCATGGAAAAACACCTTCTCATTAGGATATGGCACTTGTAATCATTTAGTGTGCTGCAGCTCATAAATTGGATGAGATCGTGCTCCACTGATGAGAAATATGAGTATTATTAATGGCATGAGCAAGACAAAGTAAAATTAAACACAAGTTCTTGAAGCTTTTCTGCTGTTTCCTTAACCCAGCCTTTTCCTAATAAGTCCCATTCCACTGGAAACAGTGATCCTGGTTACAAGAGGGTTAAGTTCTGCTCGCTTGAGTCCAGTTGGTGCAGCTACTTAGAAGAGAGATGTGAAAGAAGCCTCTCAGCCTCTCTGGGCCGGTAACTAATTTTCAGATGAAGAAGATCCCAGTATTTCAGTGAAAATTTTCATGGTTTGCGAATTAATTTCCTTAGAGCAGCGCTCCTGACTGTAACACAACAGCACCTGGAGTCAGGCACACTTTGGCATAGAGAGATATCACAATACCTCTCTGCTCTGAGTCCCCTTCTTTTTTAAAGCACATAGCCAGCAGATAGGGCTAGCCCTAGGAAGAAAAGCACTGCTAAAAAATGGACATAAGGGCAAAAATCCATCTGCATTCAACACATTCAATGCCCTCCTGTTAAGGTAAGGCACCATTCAAACATCAGAAGATACCTGCCTGAGACGTGATTCTGCTCCTTCCCATGCTGGCAAATTTGTGAAGCACAAGCTTGAAAATGGCTGGCTTTGTAAAAGACTCTTGGAGTTGACACATACTAAGAACACTCACTTCCTAAGTGAGATGCTGTGCTACTTTTCCTGATATAAAAGCATGGTTTAGAGCCAGCACTTGATTGAAGGTTCTATTCTCAGGTGGTTTTTCATAAGACCACAATCTTCACTTGAAAACTGTTCAGCCTAGTCAGGTTTGGTTTCGGTCAGACAGAAATTAAACCAGAAATGTACTGAAGTTGAAAACATAACCTTCCTGTCTTTATAAATGTCTCCAATATTTTAACTGCAGTCCATAGGGAACTGACTGAACAAAAGGAGGAAAAATGTCACTTCCTATTGGTAATACTTTGTGAGTTCATTGTGCTTTCCCGCTCAGACGCTGAGCATTTGGGTAGAGTGAAGTAGTATGAAACACTTGGAAAGAAAAAATGTGACATGTCATTTCCTACTGATACAAAGTCAAATTAAGCATGGGAAAACTTTAAAGGGAGGAAGGGGCTTGCTCAGATGACTAAGGCACAATCCCGTGCTAAACTGGAAAAATCTTAGGAGCAATTAGCATCCTATCAGCGGAAGGAAGAGCAGCTGAGGAGATGGATGGAGAGCCGAGGTCACCTGTCCACTGGGAACTGCGTGAAACACTTGGCACAGCCTAGGAGCCTGGCTGCATGCCTGCTGGGACTCGACTCTTCCAATGGAAAGTCATCATAACCTCTGCCACTGCACAATATTGATGAATAGGTTTGGATCTGGAAAGTCTCCATGCCTTTGTCCAGAGGGTTGGAGGAAGGCAGGTTTTCCTTTTGCTGGCCTTGTATGTAGGTGTGGGACAGCTTTGGTCAGGAGCTGGCTCCTTCCTCCTGACTCATGGGGGCAGGTGCCACCCATTTCCCAGTCAGAAAGTAAGGGGACCGATCTACATCCCAACAATTCCCCCTGCTGACAGACCATATGAGTCAAAAATTATCTTCTTCCTCTTACCGGCCTTCAGAAGAGGCCGTCATTGACTGCAGAGAGCAGGCTGGGCTCCAACACACGGTGAGCCAGGGTGAGGGTGAGGGCCGGGGCTCCTGGGGCTGCCTCTTCCCCAGTGCAGGGCCCTGCTCCAGCTCTCTGCCCAGAACACTGAGCCCCAGTGAAACTCCCTCCTGAACAGCCCAGGGCCTGCAGGCCAGTGATCTATTTTTAGAAGTCATCTGTCCAGCAGTTAATGTTTATACTCACTAAAATCTGTGTATTTTCTTTCCTCATTCTGTATCTATATGCTTCCGTGGGATTTTAGTCCCAAAGCTGACATCGTAACAGTTAGTCTGTCCACCAGACTTTCACTGTGCACAAGCCTAGGTAAAATCAGCATATCGTAGGGGTGGCCACAGTATCACAGAAGGGTTGAGGTTGGAAGGCAGCTCTGGAGTGCATCTGGTCCAACATCCCTGCTCAAGCAGGGTCACCTACAGCAGGTTGCCCAGGACCGTGTCCAGACTTGTTCTGAATATCTCCAAGGATGGAGATTCCACAGCCTCTCTGAGCAACCCGTGCCAGTGCTTGGTCACCCTCACAGTGAAAAAGCATTTCCTGACGTTCAGAGGGCATTTCCTGTGTTTCAGTTTGTGCCCCTTGCTTCTGGTTCTGGCACTGGACACCACCAGGCCTTTCCCTGTCGTTCTGTTCTCTTCATCCATGCATGTATTTCATCCAATAGCTCTACTTTGGGGTTCCAAGCAGAAAACAGGGGTGTTCATCCATTCCTGGTGGTGACGCAACCGAAGTGGCAGCAGATCAGCACAAACCAGTCTGTAACTGAGATGTTAGTCCCTTCCTTTGAGCGAAACTGCAGAATACTTCATTTTTCCCAACTCCTCATTCTCTCATCTACTTTTATAATCCTGGAGGAAAAAAATTCCTTTGTCTTAAAGTGATGAACAATTCATTTTTCTGTTACCTTTGATAGTTGCCTGTAAATGACTTCACAGACCTGATTCCCTCCTGATTTTCCTCCCCACCCGCTGCCACGGGCTGCGGGTGCGCAGTAAGATTTCTGCAGGTACCAGAGTAGAGGCGGCTTCCCAACACGGAGCATTTCACAGCCTCTGGGGACGTGTCTTGAGAAAAAAATAAAGTGCTCAATAATGCACATTGGTTTAAATGTTTAAATCACACCTCAAACATGGTGACAAAGCCCTCCCTTAAACCTCAGCACCAGCAGTAACTCAGCAGCACAGGGAAAGTGGCTTTTGCTCCAGACTGGGAGGTCAAGCTTCACACAGGAGCTGTTCCCTCGACTGAATGGTTTTTAGGCTGAGCTTGGGGTGCTGGTTTTTCTTTCTGCATACACTTGCCAAATGTAAGTGGGGAAAGCCATCGATTAGTGGCTCACCTCATTCCCAAATGTTCACAGTGGTCTGAAAGGAAGAGTGAAAACAAGGAAGGAAAAACCCAAGAAACAGACACTGAATTATTTTTATCTTTCTGAAATGACGCCCTCTGCAGGAAGAGCATCCAGCACAGACACCAGAAAATTAATGGGGATTGTATTTACCCGACCCAAGCCCACACAGATCAGGATTTATGGGAAAACACAGCATTTGGCCATTACAGAGAAGCAGTGGGTACAGTGAGCCGGGCTCCTTTCAATGGCACATCTGCTTTATGGGAACAGGAGCAATGGCAAGAAGCAATTGGATTTGGCTGATTATTAGTGGGATGTGTAAACTGAAAAAACAAGCAGCAGAAATGCCATAGCCAGTATTTACTTCATTTCAGGCTAAGGGCAAAAATAGGATTGAGGAAGGTGCCACAGGGCAGCAGCAATGCTATGGGAAGGGCATTTGATGGTGGCAGCAGGATGGAGTTTCAGCAGTAAAATCCCTGCAACTGCCCAGAAGAGCAGCCTAAGAAGAATATGTTGTGGAGGGAGCTTGCAGGTTGTTTTGCCGTAATTACTGGGTTCATGCTACGTGCATGGCTGGGGGAATGACATGTGTTTGAAGACTACATGACCCAGCACTAGCACCTAAACGAGCTGGAAGGCAACGTGCAGTGCTGGTGTGGCTGTTTTAACTCCCCGGTCCTGCTTTCAAAATAACCCAGAGCTTACCACCAGGAATCAGGAAGCAGTAAATAAATCCTTCTGAAACCCACAGCTTTTATCAGCAGCCACTGAGGTGTGGCCCTAACACTTGTGTGACACCATGGCCAAAAATCCCCAGCGTCCCCCCAGTAATTTTGGAGGAGGTGCCTGTGATCTGCCCAGTGGCACATAGGTGCCTGGGGCAGTGGGGAAAGAAAATGCAGGTAGCGCTGGGGGCAAGCTGGAGTGAGGGCAGAGCCTGGAGCAACCTGGGAAAGCAAAAACTGGGAAAGTGAAACTGTATGTGTGCTAGCAAGGAGCGAAACCAGGCATGGAAACCATCCAGCTGGCTTCATCTGCACGCTTGGAAAGCTGAGGGATAAATGACCACAAGAGGCCTTTTCTGCAAGGTGCATGGCTGAGTGACAGAGTATTGAGGCATGGCCCAAGGCAGGGGATTTCATGTTGCCTGTGACTCTGTCTGTCGTAGGTTTTCTTGAGCTCCCAAAGCCCACCCAGACAGTGTGAAGCAACAGGGGATCACACTCCAGTTAGCTTTGGGGTGAGCCCTGCAAAGCATTGCTGAGGCTATAGCACTGTTGTCCTCAGAGAAGGTGTGGGTTTGGGTGCCAGGGAGCCAAATTCCAGCTTGGGAGCATGAGAGCAACACAAAGACCTTGCCAGGGAGCACAGCTCAGCCCCACCATGTTTGCAGCCTGCAGACCCCTACACCAGCTCACGGTACTGCCTGGGCCTATGCCCAAAACACCCAACTGCTGGCGTGTCTCACCCCACGGTTTCAGTGGTGCTGAGGGTGTCCCTGTTCTGCTGCCAGCTGTCACTTCAGAGGTGAAAAGAAAGTGGGGCTCCCGCCAGCCCCTGAGCGCTGCCCCCCCCCAGACCCCTGGGCAGCTGCCCCACAGGGGTAACCAATGG